GGCGGCCTGGGCCTGAGCCGGGCGAGCGCTGCTCCACTCCCTTCTCCTCTTTTCCCAGGGAGGTCGGCCTTCTCTGGACCCTGCAGTCGGGCGCGCCCACAGAAAGCCCTGCCGGGGAGCCGTTTGCGTGCTCTAAGTTCATAGTAGCTGTAGGACACAACGCTGCAGGCGGGTGGGAAACCGGACCCCCCGAGCCTCCCAAATGCCGTTGTTCCGCTGCTGTTGGCTGGGTCTGGGAGACAACCCAAGTGTGCCAGCACTCTCCCTTTGCCATTGTCTGTTTTGACGTTGGTGTCTGCTGTGAGAACGACACCTAATGCTGTCCAGGTCTTCGCTTAACCCTGAGGCAGCTGGGCTCTCCAGGGAAGACCGGAGTTAGTCTGTACGGCTGCTTATGCCTCCTGTCAAGTCACGGTGTCATGCTTACAGTGGAGGGACAGAAGCATAGCATGTTTTTGTTTTGCACTGCAGTTGGGACAAACCCCCCTTTCCTTTGTCTGACACTTGTTTGGTAGGCTCTCCTGGATTGTTAATTGGCAAAAGTTCCCTTCTCATAGTAGGAAGTTGCTCAGTGCAGTCTGGTGTTTGAAAATAGGGATCTGTCCAAAATGTAAAATTATGGGTCAGTAAGTTGTAAATTTTTTGATTTCTCATGAACAGCGTTCTATTTTTTTAATTTTTTCTTGATCAGTTGATCCTTTTTTTCACATTCTGATTTCCCCACTTGTTCAGAATGCTGTCTTTTGAGGTGGTTATTTACTCAGTAGGCCTAGAGTCTTGAAACACCCTCCTCCCTTCCCAAACAACACTTACTGAGGTCTTCAGCCTTTTAATAGCTATTTCCCTGTGGATGTAAAAAAGTTTTAAGTCTTCCTTACCTTTAGGTCACATCTAGATGATACCTAAGTTAACTTTGCTAACTTGTTTTTCCTTTGCTTGCAGTTTTCCTTGAAAAATAATTGCAGATATTTTAGATTTGTCTTCCTCTTAGCAGTAACTTTTGACAGGAATCTGGTTTATGATCATTTGATTTTAAGACCTCTTTTTGCCACTAAGTCATGCGTACTCTTGCCTCTGCTTCCTAGAGCCAGTGTAACACTTCTGCCTTGCTGGTTCAGAGCTTTATGGTTTTGTTTTTTTTTTTTTTTTAAGAAATCTGTTGTATCTGGTATGTCAAGAAGTATTAGAGACTTAATATTTACATCCTCACTGTATATGAAAGAAATCAAAGTTGACTGTAGTGACATTATACCTGATAATACGTGTCTTTGACATTAGGGATCGCTGTATGTAGGACTGCTCTTTACCTTGTAAGTCTCGATGTGGTGAGGTTACTCACAGTCTTGATCTTTGCTGTATTTGGTCTATAAGTGTATGTTGGTTTAAAAAAGTTAGTACTTTTTTTTTAACTGGAGATTGCAAAGAAATCTAGTTTGGTTTGGGTATTTATTTGTAGAACAGAGATTTTATTCTTTATAAATTAACAGCATTTATTTTATTTTATTTTTTTTCAGCTTTCCTCTCTTCTTTTATTCTGGATTCTGTATGCTGGGAAGTTATTGGAGTTGTGAAGCTGTGGAACGAGTGGTGTCGAACATCCAGCACAACAAATGTCCTCCCGACAGATTCTTTTTGTTTGTTCTACCGATTAATATCAGATCCAACAGTGAGTGTCTCGTGCGTGAATCCCTCTGTGTTTTAGCTTTCTGAAGAAGAGAGCAGCCTTCATCCACCCCCTACCCTGCTCAGGGCAACAAAGCATTTGGGCTCCTGTATTCTGGATTAATCTCATAAAAAATGTGAAGGGTCATTATGCTCCCTAACATGGTTTGAAGTTGTGGCCTGAGAAGTTGAGTACAAAGGTGATGTATGACATTGCTTCACATCAGTTGTGAGTGGAAAATTCTTGTTGAACTATTGCTGAAGAAGCTCAGGGAGACTGAACGGGTGGTTGGCTGCAGTCATACCATCTTGACATGTGATGATGAGCTGCTGTTGGGCTCTTCAAACCACCTTTTTTTTTTTTTTCCCCTTTAGGTTTTGTTGTGCCAGTGTAGTTGCTACATTGCTGAGGATCAGCAGTTCCAGTGGCTTGAAAAGGTAAAACTGGCAAAACAGCAAATGGAGCAATGATACCTTAGGGGTGGGGATCTTCCTCTCTGATACTCTAGACATGGTAACGTTTTAAACAACTGCTTTCCCTGTGGCTTCCTTTTCTTAAGTACTCAACAAATGGACAGCTTCAGTTTTGTTGCACTACTTTCAAAACCATTTTTCTCTTTTGCTGAAGTTTTCTGTGGCTTATTTCAGCTCTGGGAAATCCTTTCTTAAAACTAACAATGTAACCGCATTTGCACGGCTGCCAAAGGATCGCCAGGCAAACCTGTTAGGAAACCCTACCGTCTGCCGTCTTTACTAGTGCGTGCGTTCTGTTCCGTTCACAAGGAGGAACTCTAAAGGAAGGTGCCTCCAGAGCGGCGCCTGTCCCACGCGTTCATAGACTCAGCGTGCTAAGTGCATTACCCCAGCAGCATTCAGGTCCATGAACGCTGGTGGGTCATTCGGGTCCCTCCAAATACCATCATGTCGATTTTAATAAGGTCAAACCGCAGGGAGGGATATTCTGGCTGTTGATTTTCTGTATGGATTTGGGTGACTGTCCAAAGAAAGGTTGCTTGTTTGCTCAAGGAAGGATGGACTGTTTTGTCTTGCTGTCTGTCTGCTAACCCACCTTCCTTTAAATCTCAGCTGCTCTGATGAACAAGCAGCGATTCTAAAGCTGTTATGTTACACTGAAGTTATGTAAGGCTGTGGCTAGAGATGACGGAGGGTGAGCTTAAAAGCAGTGTGTCCTCTGAGGGCAGGTCCTCAGCCCGAGCTGGGTGATACCCGCAGAGCCTAGCCCGCACGTGAAGGGGGTGGCTTGGTCGTGAGGGAGAACCTTATGAGCATCTCATTGTGAGGGAGCCAGAGAGGTTATGGGAAGGCAAAGAGGATGGAAGACTGGAGTAATTTCACTGAATGACTCAGGGATTTCAGACCCAACTTTGTGGAAAACTAGTCTTCTGTAGTTCCATGGCTTAAGGCCTAAAGCATTCTGGTTTTGCTGTAGTCCACACGTCCTTGCACTGGGATTACAAAAGGAAGATGGTTGTGGTTTTGCTGTCTTCTCCATTTGTGTTCTTCCAGCTGTTTGCACATGTGTGTTATTTCAGATGCGGGTGTTCTTGAACCGTAGGAGTGTGCAGTTTTACCACGTCAGTGCTCTTGAGTATTTTTAGAGTTTGTGGTTATTGGTGTTTTTAAACACACAGCAGAAATGATGTGCTGGTGGTCTTCTGCTTTTCACGTGAGTTACAGACCCCGCACTTCATAAATTCTCGTTCACTGAGCGTCTTCACAGTCCACCAGTTGGGTTGTTCCTTCTGGGTTGTCTCAGTGAGCAATCGCTGATGAAACGAGAACACGCAGGCTGGAGGTTCGTAGTAATGCACACCAGCCAGCGTTTCCAACAAAGAAACTGTCCTGTAAATTGAAAATACCTGCGCTTCTGAAAAGTTGTGGCAGTTTTATGCTACAGCGGGAACACGCAACAGTCAGCTTCCCTTCTCTGATGAATACCATACACAAACAGGCAACTTGCTGTACCCTTTGCCAAATTCCCTGTTTTCTCATCGATCCTCAGTCTGAAGAGGACTGTAAAGGGAGGGTGTGGGCTCGTCGTGCTTCTCGTTTTGACGTGCGCTCTTTAAAGATGTTGGAAGGCTGTGCACAGTGTTGGTGTTTGGTGGCAGCGTGCCGTGCATTCACAAGTGTTTTGGGCAACGTTTTTGAAATGTGTTTCGTTGCATTTGAGGAAAACCGGCAAAATTAAGGTTCTCTTTCTCAGTTCAGCTTGAATGGAATTAGATAAAATCTGGGCATTTTAAATGAAGACTTCTAAATACTGGGGAGCACGATTTCCGTTTCAAATCTCTTGCAGCTTAGCAAGTTGCCTTCCTGTCACAAGCAGCCTGGTTTTATTTGGAGTCCTTTTTCTTTCGATAATCACCATCAGTAAAAATAGAAAGTCTTAATACATTTGCAGGTGAATAGAAAGTGCTGAAAACCTAAAGCCTCTCAAGAAAATCAGTAGAGTTCGTAAATTCCTTAGTTGTTCTTTTGGATTTTTTTAATCTCCATCCCAAGAGCAATGCACATGAAATTTCTGCCTGAAAGTTGCAATTCAAATGTTAGCTAGTCCTGCAGACCTGAATTAAACTGCCCATTGCCGTCTGCACTGACACTGAAACGCCTCTTTGTGGTTTTACGCTGCTGTTGTGAGAAGATAGATTTTGCTGATGTATTAATACTTTTTATTTCAGGTTTTTGGCTGTATGCGAAAGGAGGGCTTGCAAGTAACCATTCTTTCAACGTGTCCTGTAGCTGATTACAAAACTCAGGAATCCACTTTAACGCTTCCATCTCCGTTTCTGAAAGCCTTGAAGACAAAAGAATTCAAAGAGCAGGTCTGCTGCCCACTGCTGGAACAACCCAACATCGTGAGAGATCTTCCTGCTGCTGGTATTTTGCAGTTCCACTTATTTACAAGGCTGCTGGTGGCAGCACAAAACTCGCTTCGAAGCATGTCCCATTGCAAGTAGAAGTTTTACATTACCGTGTGAACTGGCTGATGAATTTTTTGAAAACTAATTCGTAACGGTTTGGCATCTTGCATGTTGCCTTGTAAAATGGGGACAGAATTCAAAACCACCCACAAATTCTTTTACCCCTTCCGTGCCTAAGTCCTAGCAAATAGTACTAGTGAATTCATCAGTACAGCCTCACAAAGTGTATTGGGTTTTTTCAGCATTTAACCTAAGAGCTAAATATGTTTTATTAAGAGCTACTTTCATCTGAGCATCCAAACTGGGGCTCATGAAGTCCTTTCTGCATTTTGCAGGTGAAGTCATGTTTTGTGGTGCTGCTGACTGACCTAATGTAAAAGTTAGGTTCAGTTTTAAGTTGTAACGGAATAAAAACCTGAGGCTTTTCATTACAGAGTATCAGATGAGTGGTAGCATCATGAGGAGAAACTTGTCTGACAGAGGCTAAAAGCAGATGATTTTTCTAGAAAAAGTTTGTCTTGTTGGTACTTTGTTTTGAGTTTTTGTTTGGTGTTTTGGGGGATTTTGTGTGCGTGTGTGTGTTGGGTTGTGGTTGGGTGTTTGTTTGGGTGTGGGTAGTTTTTTTTTTTTACGGAAGCTTAAATTATTTTTATTTACCAATAATGTTGTTTCTAGTTAGGGTGTTTGCCAGGAAGAAATACCAACTGCATTTTACTAATATTTGGTGGTTTATTTTCTTGCATACCTGAGGAACAAGGGATGGTTGGTCTAGCAGTCGGGCTCCTGAGTTAGTTAATTTATAAACTTTTCATGCTTTTGAAGTTCTGGCCTGAACAAATGCGATTTCGTACACGGAACTGAGATTCCTTCTCTGCTGACACATTTTCTTCTGACTTTGTATTTAGTTTTGAGTTACTGTCAAGTATGGCAGATTCCTGCGGTGTTGTATCAGTGCTACACTGACGTCATCAAGCTGGACACGGTTACAGTTGAAGCGTTCAAGCCTCTGCTGTCCTCTAAAATCCTGAAGAGCTTAGTCAAGGTAAAATTTCACATCTAAAACTTAACGGGAGGTTTGGTGTAGTCTGGTCTGTCCTTGGTCTCGTGCATCCTGCTGTTGATGTGCCCCTGTGAGGATTCCGCCTGAAAAGGCTGGTAGAGGTGATGTACAGGAACGTGCAGACTTTATTGGAGGAGAGCAGGGCTTGCTGGTGTAGTGCCTGCTGTAACAATTCACGCGTTTGTAAGCTGCTTAGAAATAACGAATCTGCAATTTCCCTTAAAACTTCGTTTTTGACTTTTCAGGCTCTTGTAGCAATATTAGTGTACCAGGGAGTAATTTCTCGTGACTGTTTCAGCTCCAGGTTTCTTTGGAGGTGTCTCGTGTTGAAACCTTCAGGTGTATTTGTTGGGTTTTTAGCACTGTACATTCATATGCCAGGTGGCTCTGTTCTAGCTTGGTATCCACCTGTCTTGTGCCATACGTGAAAGCCTCTCAAGAAACTTACTTTGACCTGTAACTACTTTCTGGAATTAAGACTGCATTTCTAAAGATGGCTCTCAACAGTTTTACACTAATCAAGCAGCTTTGAAATCAAGGCTGTTACAGCTATTAAAGCAAATGTTTGCTTCTTTCTGAAACGTTTTTAATTAGGGCATAGTTGGTTCAAAACACTCCTCACTGTTGCCAGTTGAACGTAGATCTAAATGACAGAAGAGGTTTGTGTGTACTGCAGTATTGAAAGTATTTCAGCTTTAAATGTGGGAATTGTGAGTTACAGCTTTTACTGGCCTGCGAAATAGCACGGTAGTGTGTAAGTCTTTAAACCCCGAAGGAAAACGGCAGCAAATGTGCAGGCTCTTCCTCTTGCATACGAGCCAGGAGGCATGCAAATAAACAAATCCCCCTCTGTGGCTGAACTGCGGATTCGTTTGGAGCCTTTAGCGGGTCTCTGGATACCTTCATTCGGAAGGCCCGAGTTTTGCTCACAGTTAACATTTTAATCAAATCGACATTCAGAGTCAGAAAAACTGAAATAGAGGACAGCGAGGCTGTCCTGGTTTGTTACTGGCAATGTAGCTAATGCTGATTGTCTCTGCCTTTTTCCAGGATGTTTCTGAAAGCACAAAGATTTTGAAGAAGTTACTGACAACCAATGAAACTCACAATACTATCTATATCTGAGGAGGACGTTTGTGATGCAGACCGCACTTTTGTGAACTCCAGTTTCGTCTGTAAAGGACATCTGTGGTTGTTTCCTCAGAAGTGGAATAAATTCCAGTAGATTCTGACTTCCGCACTCATTTTTGTTACTTTCACGCTCGTCACTACCAACACATGTATTTCTTCTGCAAGTCTTGGGAGATTTTCTTCTGGAGTGATTTTAGGAAAGATACCTTGAATATGACAATACGCAAAGCAACTTTTTTTTCTCCTCCTGAAGGGACTGTCTTATCTAAATGTTTACCTTTTTACATATAAAAGAGGAAATGCGGTTAAGGAATTCTGTCTATCTGATGAGAACCCCTATTTCTTACTTGTTTTGAGACATAAAAGTTTTCCTAATATTTGATCCTCTTCGAAGATTTGTCTGTGAGGGAGAAAATACACTCTGTGTCTTCTTACATACATAAATACACACAATTTTTTGTGGATGTAGGAATGATACGTGTACATGTAAGCGTGCACATACGTTTTTATGTATGTGGTGATACAAAATACAGTAAGTCAAGTATAGTCAATACCTTTAAAAGACTTATTAGTGGAAAATAATATTAAGCTTGCTTTACAGATCAGTAGGAGGCAGGAATGTGGATCTGTGTTGACCTGCGCGAAAAGGCTGTGACTTGCATTCCCTGAGTAGCTGTCACAGGTGTTCAGGATGCTGCCACCTGCACATCTGGCAGGAAGCGAGGGGTGCCCGCTTCCAGATGCTGCAGCTCCCAATTGCAGTGCCTGCCTGAAACTGCCAACGTGGGGCAGCTCAGCCTCAGACCTTGGTCAGGTGCTGGAGCATTCCCTGCTGTCAGATCTCTGACAGTGCTGGGAACCTCTCCCGGTGAAACGGGGTGGTAGGCTTGCAAGCTGCTTCAGCTGGATTTGCAAATCTTACCCACTTTAAAACCCTGAATTGCTGGCAACAGTAGGAATAGTACGAGGTCTATTACGTAGAGGATGTGAATTTCAGAGAAAAAGTTCAAGTTTTGAAGTGTCTCAGAAAACCCTGAAAGCTGCTAACAATCTCAGCAGTGTGTTTAGGATACTTACTAGGGTTGGTACGCAGTTCTGACTTGTACGTATTCTCCATTTAACGTTTTGCTTAAGAAAATGGTGTTAAAGATAGTATTTCTGTTGCTCCCAGGGAATTCGCTGGTGTTGTCACTGCACTGAGATCTTTAAATTGCTTGTAGCTTATCCTTTTGGAACAAAAGGGTAACAGGTTCAAACTTCCCTACTGAGTTTCACTTTGACTTATGCTGGATGCCCAGTGGATGGTTTTGAACAGTTATTTCCTTTGTCAGAACCCTCATCCCTTCGGGTTTGAATGTGTCTGGTTTAGTCAGCACCCACTGTAGCAACTAACTCCTGGCTTCAGCGAGCTCACTGCAACTTCTGGGTGTGGGAATTTTTAACTGCACGTTATATCGCAGTTTCGATGGTAGCGGAGGATTCTTGATGTGGCTGTCAGGTTGCCTGTCACTTAAGATACTGATTGAAATTTCTGTTAATATAATTACAGATAAGCAAGCAACTCTTGCTTTAGGTGGTACTGGTGGAACCCTCAACATCAGAAGGATATAGACTGGTTTGAGCGAGTCCAGAGGAGGCCACAAAGATGCTCCAAAGGCTGGAGCACCTCTCCTCTGGGGAAATGCTGAGAGAGTTGGGCTTGTTCAGCCGGGAGAAGAGAAGGCTCCGGGGAGACCTTATACCACCTTCCAGTACCTGAAGGGGCTACAAGGAAGCTGGGGGGGACTTTTTACAAGGGCCTGTAGTGACAGGACAAGGGGGAACAGATTTAAATTGAAAGGGGGGAGGTTTAGATTGGACATCAGGAAGAAGTTCTTTACGGAGAGGGTGGTGAGGCACTGGCACAGGTTGCCCAGAGAAGCTGTGGATGCCCCATCCCTGGAAGTGTTCAAGGCCAGGCTGGATGAGGCTTTGAGCAACCTGGTCTAGTGGAAGGTGTCCCTGCCCATGGCAGGGGGTTGGAACTAGGTGGTCTTTAAGATCCCTTAAACGATTCTATGATTCAATGAGTCTAAGATAATTTAAAATCCCTTCACTCTTTTTCCATAATGTAGTGTATGAAGTAGCTTGTATTCCCGCCCCCTTAAAACAGGTGGTTCTGGAGGCCTCAGAACTAACGATACCTGAGTGTCTCATGTGAATGTTGGCTGAATATTTTTTCATATTCGAACATTGCAAAGCTGTTTTTTTGTTTTGGGTTTTGTTTTTTTTTTTTTCTTGGGCTCTCCAGTCTCTAGTAGGAACCTGCAATAATGTTTTCTTTGTTTCTAACAGCTGCTGGATTTTGTAATACTTGTAGGAGTTTACAAAATTTAAAACTGTTTGGTCAACTGTGGCGGATGGCTTCAGAAACTCGTGGGGAAGGATTTGCGCTCTTGCCTGCGTGTCTGAAATGTGGATTGTGGAAGACTTGTTTCCTTAAGGTATCAGGCTAGGAGTAAATAATGATTCCAGACAGTAGGCTATTAGGGTGAAAGGGTTTTCTTTTCCAGTTTTCACGTCATCTAAGCCACCTGCTACCCATATTTTTTTTTTTTTCAGATAACACTGAGCTGTCTTCTGCTGAAGAATGTTGTCTTCCAAACCAAGGACGCAGCCTTTTCTCAAGTTTCTCAATATTTGGTAGGCAGATGTGCTCTGTCTTTCCTCAAAGGCTCTGACTGAAAGGTGCTCTGCCTGACCTAGTTCTTCAGTCTGGAATCAGAGTGCTTTTTAATGAGGCTGCTTAGCTTTTAGCTTGTAACCTGGTGTCTGTACAGTTCAGGTCAGAGATGTAAGTACAGGACTGTACAGTCACAGGAGGTAATGTCCAAGCCAGAAATCTGGGGTTTATTTGAATTTGTTACAAAACCTCCACGTAGAATGACAAAACCAGCAATATACCTGCTGCTCTGCTTTTGTTTTACCTGTGGTTGATGTGGTCACTTACAGTGCAGTGACACTCCAATAACAGAATTCTTGCAGTCTTCTGAAAATCCGTCATGAAAACAGCATGCCCTGCTCTGCTTCCCGAGCACTACTCTATCCCATTATGCTCCTTCCGTATTTGACGTGACGCACCATTCTGCTTCCTGTATAATTTCTCCTTGTGTGCCATCAGCAGGGACACACTCTAGCAAGCAGCCTTAAGTCTTCCTGGATTCCAGCCTTCTCATCCTGCAGAATACTCACCCTATCTTGAGTTCCACCCTGGAAACCTCAGAGGTAGAACCACACAACACGTGATTTTACGGGCTGTATGCCGAAACCTGGATTAAAACATTTGGGAAGTCTAATTGGCAAAATGTAGGAAAATCCTGGAAGTTTGCCCTGCAGACTTCAACTCGGTCTCCGCCCCGTGCCGGAAGAGATTTGCATCTTTAATTACAGCGTTGTCTGTTTGTTCCTGGACAGAGCTGCCCTGTGAAAGGGCAGTGCTCAATTCTGGCAGCGTGAAGGGGAGGAAGCTTGGGATGAGATTGCTGGTTTCATTTCTTTTCCGTGTTGGGGGGTGGGGTGACTGAGGCAAGTGAGTAAAGGAGGAAAGAGGAAGAGTTTGTTCCTGCCCCAGCTTCAGGCAATTTCTCCTCCCATAGCGCTGGGCAAGCCCTGTGGGTGGCAACGTGCCGCGCTGCTGGTACCTGTGTTTTGTGGGTGAGCCAGCCGAGGTGCCTAGGACCTGTCTTGCTGGCGTGTTGAGCGCTCGTGGGATGAGCTGTCAGAGCAAAGCTGGACCGGGATGCTGAAAGCAGACATACAATTATTGCAGTGAAACTTGAAAACGTTGGAAATGCAAGTAGTGAAAAAGACTTTTTAAAAAAAAAAAAAATTTGCAAGCATTTTTGTTCATCCTCAGATTTTTCTGATTTTTTTTTTTTAAATGTTCTGTTTTTTTTCCTAACACAGTGAAAAATCTAAATAGGCTAAGAATGGAAGGAGGAGAGATTCATGGCATTTTTCAGTGCGATCAGATCTGCCTTCTTTTTTTTTCCCCCTTTAAATATTTCAGACTAAAAGTTTTGACAGCTGCCGCACACAACAGCGACCAGTGTTAATGGGCACCTCTCTCCAGCCGGATGAAATCAGAGCGTTGAGGTGAGACTTTCTTACTTGATGGGAAACACTGAGACGCTGTTGGTAGATACCCCGGAATAGTTAATGAGGAAAAGTACTAGAGAATTCCATACAATAAATACCATGGGAAACCATTAACTCGCAGGGGTAAAACCACTAAGCACTCATTTCATGTTGATGGCATGGTATCCTGAGGGGCCCCCAGTGAGGGAAGAACACCACAGACCCCCAGCGGTATGCACACGGAAGAAAGTTGAAGATTGGGTGTCAGGCTACAGTCTCAAGTTTTTTGAATAATTGTATAAGCCTGTGTTCAAATGTTCCTTGTCTGGGGTGTTAGGTACTTGCCTGGGTAATTGCTTGGAAGTAGAAAATACTTTGTAGGGATGGTGATGTACCCTCAAAGAGCAGTTTCTTAACCTAAGCATTTACTGGAAAGGCCATGGGTTCTTCCCCCATGTTCTAATCAGAGGGTTACGGCGTGCTTTCACGTGCTAAACCCGCTGTATTGCTTATGTTCAGGGTTGATACTTGAATTCTTCTGTGAGGTCTGATTTGGACTTGGATCCCTTTTCAGGAACGCAAGTGAAAGCCACCTTCTTTCCATCAGCTCTATAGACTTTAAAACCAATCTGCTGCTTCGTAGGGAATTAGCAAGAGGGGGAATGAACATAACAGAGTCTCGATGACTAAAGGCAGCGGTCTGATTGCTGGACAGATGAATGGGGAATGTACGGCCTCGCTAACCAAGGGTAATCCTGCAGGTAGAATGGTGGTAGCTGGGAGGTTGTATGACAACAGGGGCAGCCAGTATGGAAAAGCATTGAGGGTGCAGTAGAAAAAAAAAAATGTAGTGCTGATCTTCCTATAATATTAGGGTTTGAGACGGTGGCTGTGAAATAAAAGTAGGATGTAAGGTGGGTTCGCTATTCCCTGCTGGCTCTGAG